GCGGACCGTGTCACGGGAGGGAAAATGGCCACGTATCCTGTTCGTACCCCGAGGCAGAGTTTGCAAACCAAAGCAAAATTTTGCGGCCGGAGCTGGTCGTATCCCGAAAAGTTCGTTAACAGAAGCGTTCGTAACCCGAGGTCCCACTGTATATAAGCATTGTAAATAAATGAACTCCACTCTAAATTTGAAATATAATCATTAGTATTTACCCCAAGATTATCAGTTTGAAGAAAGGCCTCGTGGCTGGAGATGGCAGCAAGGATTGAATCAACTTCTTTGATGAATTTCTGCAATTCTATATTCTCCTGGAGCTGCTTCTGCTGCTTTGTCCAAAGCTCATCCAACTCCTTCCTTCCTTGAGCAACTCTGTCCATATATTCACCAACATGAAAAGCTCCAAAGTTGGACGAACTGTCTGCAACCTTCTGACCTAGTTCTTGCAGCTGTTTAAATCTGTCAAAGTTTCCAAAAATAATTGTGTATATGTCTTCCCATCTTTCTCTTGTTTAAATAGTATCTACACATATTCCTATTTTTAAGGTGTTGAGAGTTACACATACTTCCTTATAGAGGCATAATTGATTAAATCTATCTATTCAATATTCTGTTCTCAGATGCACAAGAGCAATAGCATTCAGCTGGTACTGAAGGATATATTGCCCTTGTTCTTACATTGCATTAAAGCATAATGTTATTTTGGTTTAGAGAGTTGTGTTAATTCAGCCATTATAGATTGTAACCATCATATCTGACTTATTATGGCTTAGAATTTTATGTAAAGCCAACAATTGTAGCCAACAAACTATGACTTTTAGCACAGTGTTTGCAAACCCCTTTTCTGCCTTTGGTAACTGGGAGTAATATATGATTAGCAGGAGTAATCCCCTCTGATAGTCCTTTTTTATTACTATAATCACAGTTTAAAACTATCCAAATAGGTACTGTAGACTATATCATGATTGGCATCTCAGCAATTTTTACTATTACTACATTGTTTTAGAAGTACCTGTGGTTCTGGCTGTGTATCTCATACAGCAAGTCCTGGTGTTCTTTCAAGAGCTGCTCTGCAGAGACCACATCTATACATATCTCCTCACTTGTCAGTTTTTCCTTTATACCATCAATCCACAAGAGGAGTCTATGACTCTCTTGCAGAAAAGCTTGTTGATCCCTTGCTATTTGCAAAACCACCTTCTTCTCCTCTGCTTTTAACTTTAATATTAATAACAGCTTCTCCATGTCTTCTCCATGTTCCTTTATGTCATGACTCTCTGCAGGATTGGTATCCTGGATTCTGTATAATGAAGCCAGAGACACATTCTTGAATTAGACTTGATTCCAGTTATTAACCCAAGCTGAATTCCACTGAAAAAGGTATGTCTGTTATATTGTTGAATACCTCAGTGTTCTCCTGAATATGGTTAATTCATTGTTTTTGTTCCATATCCCAATATTATAAATACATGATTTGGGAATTCATCTAAACATATTTTCAGAAAATTAATTAGAATCTATGTTGGCACATATAGGGAAATTAGAATAAAAGATGCATACAACTTTGGGCTAAGAGATACCAGCTGAAAGGTAATTCTAGTCATGAGCTCATCAGCTTACTGAATGGTGGGCTGCCCTCCTAGATTGCTACTTTGAGTTGAAAATATTAAATTAATTCATGTGAAATGTCTTCTGCATTTAGGAAAATGCACTAATCTATAAACACATGAATAGTAGTATAGTAGTCAATTCAAAGAGAGTCAGGTTGGTGTAGTGGTTAAAGGTATCAGGCTAGAAACTGGGAGACCATGAATTCTAGTCCTGCCTTAGACACAAAGCCAGCTGGGTGACTTTTGGCCAGTCACTCTCTCTCAGCCCTAGGAAGAAGGGAATGGCAAACCACTCCTGAAAAATGTTGTCAAGAAAACTGCATGAATTAATCCGGGCAGTTGCTAGGAGTCAAAACTAACTTGAAGGTACAAACAAAAGTTAATTCAAAATACTTAACCATGAATATCACTGAACAATCTCGGGACAGCCATAGAAACCTAGGAAGCTACCTTATGCCAGCTGGAATTACTTCTAGCTGGGCATTGTTTGATGGGGAGAAGTATTACTCAATGTCTCAGGGAGGACTTTATAAATCACTTTATATCAGATGCTTTTAAAAGTGTGAGTCAGGGTTGAAACTAGTAAGACAGATAGATACTCTACTATTGCTTCAGAGCCTGGAGCCTTCTCCTGATATAGGGTTCATTTTAACTTTTGTGATCTCTGTCACAATGAACTGGACAGAGTGGGGTAAGATAACATTTTAGGTTATTCTGTGACCCTTGAAGGTAGGCAGGAGTTATCATAAACAAAAGAAAGGAACTTGAAAAATATTGTTTTGGGCTTTGAGCATACAGGCTATTCCCAATAATATTGATATTATTTCTGATGCTACTATATCTGGGCTGCAAATTAGAACAGCTCTGCGAGGTCATCAAAGTGATACAGAAAACTCCTAACCATTTGCTGCCATCTTGTGATCATCATGATTTTTGCAACACAGACAGGGTAGCCCTAGTTATTCCCAATCTTTGGGTGGATTGCATAAACTAAAATTATCCTATGGTTCTCCCCCATTCTTATATGCCTAGGTGGGTGTGGGGGAGAACAGTTGGCAATGTATGGCTGCTTTCATTTCAGGGATTGGGATATTTTAATTAAGGATCAGAGATTTACATTGATATGCCCTAAATTTTGCCAATACAAGCAGGCATTGTGGGTTACCACTTCTCTCTATTCATGGAGAAAAATCTATCTATGTGGTCGCTAAGAGTTGATAACAACTTGATAGCACATAATCAATCAATTAATTTCTCTCTGTTCAAAGTAATTCCAAACCCCCATCTATTCAATGAAGCAAATGACTTTTCTAAAAAGGAGAATGTATCTCATTATCATTGCTGCTAATCAACTAGAGGAAGATGTATGCTAGAATTAATCATCATTGCTATACCTAAGCTGAGTTAGATATGCGGGTGTCACTCTTCGCTTAAATTGGAGACTAGATTATTATTGTAACAACTATAATACTATTACTATAACATAGCAAAGAACTGATTTCTTACAGACTGGCTACCCGCTTTTGGTATTCAATTTTTCTCTCCAGAACTAAGATTTCTCTTTCGCAGGCTGAAAGCTTGCGTGCCTGTGCTTCCAAGACAGCAGGCTTGCTCCCATGTCCCAAATCCTCCAGGTTGGTCATCTTGTCTTGTAACAGTTCTTGAGTGTCTTGGCAGTCCTGAAGGAATGTCTTCACATCAGTGACACCAATCAGCTCTGAGCCTTTTTCTTCTTTTAATGTTTCCAGGCAATCCCACCTTTAAAAGTAGACAAAAATAAAGACAGCTTCAGCAGAGCTCATGATGGTTAGTCAGGAATATGCCTGCATATATACAGAGATACAGTGGTACCTCTACTTACAAATGCCCCTACTTACGAAATTTTCGAGATACAACCAGCTCTGGCCCCCAATATTTATCTCTCCTAACAATCTTGCCTCTAATTCCGAACGGGATCCGCCGCCATTTTCCCTGCTGCCACGCGGTCGTGGCTTCCTGTGGGCAAGATCGCGGTAGCAAGGAGACATTCAGTGAGGCTTGTGGTGTGTTT